AATCACTTAGGTTAATTGCCGCGGGACTGCGGGGGGGGTCAAGAAATATAATCCAATGCGATGAAGGTGTGTACAAATAAAATAACTAGTGTGCAAAATAATAAATCATTTATTCTTCCTGTTTTTCCAGAATAGTCCTTTCATTTTAAAAATGACCTAAAAATGAAAAGCGTGTAAATGTCATTCAAATCCGGCTAAGAAACGCTCCACACTATTCTATCGAAGTGAATTTTAATTCTGAGTACATTTCTCTATCATCGTTTTTTCATATGTAAGCGTTTTAATTGTTCAAGCTGATCAACGTAAGATTTTACAATAATATGTTTTTAGACATTTTACCTTTTGAACACTGGAGCACCTTTAAACGGTATTTTATCAATTATATCTAAAATGGCATAATGTTAGAACTTCTTCAAACCGTAGCTGTGATGGATTTAAGTGATGTTATCTTGAGTGTACCAGAGACAGACACTCTCTGAAAACGTGTCTAATCAAAGTGCTTTAAGTAGTTGAAATCTAATACAGTTTATGTACAATCATACTTAAAGTCCCGATAGAATGTTGAGAAAAACATAAACAGACATGTTTAATATGTTGTACTAGGAATGTTTGACATTTGAAGGTGTTTACATATAATCATGCGCTACAAAGTAAATTTTCTTAGACCTTTAACATTTTCGAATCAATTTATCTGTTCTATGTGCTTTTGTTTACAAATTGGTTTTATTTCAGAAACTCGAAAGTACCAAAGTAGGTTTGTGTTTGTTATTTCTAAAGAATATTAAGAATTATGTGTATATTTAATTTACCCTATTTTCTTCAAGTGATATCAGGCCCAAAAATGGGAAATTATGAGTGAATAGGTAAAATTCACAGTATTAAATGACTAGATTTTCATAATATTATGCTCTGCGTCACAAAATGATTACTCACGTGGCACACATACATTTCTATAAATACCCTTCGTAAGCTTTAGCTTACGATCAAATTTGTTAAATGAGTGTCAGAGTCTTCTTATATTTTAGACAGGTGTTATGTTTTATTCATCATTTATCTCCATCAATTGATGCATTACGAATATAAAAGTCAGTCTTTAGAAATATTATGCTATCTAGCTCAACTTAACATTCAATTTGAAAATATGAATAAAATGTCACTTTCAGTAATCATAACCAAACCCATGGGATTCTGAACTATGGTTTTATTACGTTCTCACCACAGGAATAATCAAATTATAAAGTTATCGGATATCCTTATATACGGGTAATTTTTATCAGTATAATATCAAATTTTTATATCCTCTATTCAGACTGGTTGACGCAAATAAGCTCTTTTTGTATTCAGAGAGACTTTCATATCAAACCGATACAATTTTGATATAAATTACATATTAAACTTATGTATGACAGAGTCGACGGGACTAGCTATATTAATTTTGCATCTGTTATAATTGTTAATTGAAAATGAATCACAAAAATACAATGGCTGGTAATATTTTTATAGGAATTACAAGTCACTAAGTGAAGTCTGGTTCGAAAATAATTACTTACATTGAATATTCTAAGGGTATGATTAACAAATAATTTCAGTGTCAATTGATTATGCCATGACGTTTTAATTGCTTATTTAAGCCACTAATATTGCAGATACATATGTTTTAATGTAATAATTCAATCGATATACCTTTTCTTTTAATATTTCTTTTATTTAAGGACAGCTTTTATAACTATCAAAACAGCAATTATAAGGACTCTGGCATAGAGATTTGCGCTTTTTAAGAAGCAGTTATAGAATTTTTAATGTTTTATTGAAATAGTATTTTATCAAGATGCTCTAAAATTATAAGGTGTTATATGTTAGATAACCATATTATTGCGTCGTTGTCGGATAGTGCTTATGTCGATTAAGGATGGTCTCCTTTGCATTAATAACAAAGTTTAAGATTGTGTACTTAAACAAAGCTATATGAAACGTTTTAATTGAAATTAGATCAATATTAGTATAGCGTCAAAATAAGGAACATCCGAAGTAAAATGTAATATACAATATTGTTATTCAATTTAATGCATGATCATAAATTAATATTGTAATAACATCTTCAGTAACTTACTTGTAATATTTATATCAGACTTGCTGTCAACACTTTAAGCATAAGTGTCAGGCTGGGAATTGATGTGTGTTAACGTTACTGGACTTATTAAGTTTGACCGTATGAGACAATCTAGAATTTATTTTAGGGCATACTAAAAACTTTAACGATGACATACATTTCATTTTCACGTGTTATTGTCGTCTTGAGATAGATGGATTGTGAAATTCATTTAAAATTGTGTATAAATAATGCAATTGTACTTTAAGAAATGTATACGATTACCAAAGTGACCGATAAAAGTATTCTCCATTTCGTATATATTATATTGCATTTACTACTAAGATTAATGGCAAAATCATTTTTATGACCGCTACCTATTTAAAGTATAGTATCTTATTCTCTGTTACCTTAACAAAGTTATTACTCTGAACTTTTACAGTAATAATCAATTATTGTAAATACATTTAGATTTTATCTGACTAACATCTTTAGTCAATTATTCTGTCGTATAAAAAGAAAATACTGATTAATCGTTATATACAGGCTTGTCAGCCCAATAAAGAACCATATCGTTACATCAAATGTTACACCACCGACGTGTTATGTTACGTATTTTAATTTTGATCTATGTAAAACCATACCAGACCATGGAAGGATATGTTGCCCTAATTTCTTTAAAACGGAGTTGTGTATCGAAAATATGACTCAATTTGACAATGCAGACTGGGGCAATGATTGTGCAATGTACCAAAGTAACATTTGAACTGTCCATGATTAAATTAATTATGTTGGACAAAGATGCAGACATGCAATTAACAATCAAACGCTCATATTTCCCCGGGGTTTTGCTTTTTATTCAGTAATTTCGTTCTTGTCATTTCTACAATGCATAATATAATCAGAGAAATTGCTTTCTGTTTCTTAAAAGTTGAAATAACGTTAAGTGAGCAGTTGTTTGTAGATTAAATTTGAAAGAAATGTACTTGAAAAAAATCTTACCAATTATTTTTTAAGCATTGTTAAGACATTTATAAATATATGTCAGGTAGAAAGTAATTACTGTGCTTTGAATAAATTCCAATAAAAGTGGTGTTAATACAAAAAAGAAATAAGCCTGTTCAACGTTTACGAAATTGGATCGAATCCAGGTACACACAACAATAAGTTTGAGTCAAATAAAGTTCCATCTAGGGAACTCATTTAGTAATATCTTAAAGCATACGATATAAAGGCATTAAGTTGGTATTTCGTACTTGCCTTACTAAAAATATATGTTACCTAGCATATTTAGTTTCATATTAATAAACGTCTCTAACTTAGCATTTCGATTGCACCCTTAAACTTATGCTTCTACAAGGAAATAATGATCTTATGTATATAAACTGTAAAGTATTTTGTTAATATTGTAAGGATGTTTAGATTGCATCTTTCAATTAAGATTTAATGAACAAGAAAAATGTTGTTCAAGCACATTTTCATATCAAAATTGTATATCAAGCATTTTTGGAGATGAAAACTTATTCATTTATACTCAAATATGAAATGACAAAAAGATGTTATGCAATTAGTGATTATTCAAGAAAATTAGGTAATATTAATGTCCTTTACATCATAAAGTTTTCAAGATATAATAATTATTGTATTGTCTAATATTGTATTGACTTCGTTAAAGTAAGGTATGTGAGGCTAGTGGATCTCATTAACATAAGCTAATTTGATAACACTTCAGACCTTACTTGATAATTTAAATATTTTTAGCCTCCTAATCGACGAAATGCCACGGTTAATGTCGTACAGTAAAAGTTAAATTGATCCATAGAATTATTGTAACCGTAGTAAGCGACCCTTAGGAAATAACTTAAATCCTCGATAAGATACATATAGTTTCACCTATCAATTTTTACTTAATTACCTAATTTCCTTGAATAATCTACAATAAACATAACAAAGAGTGTAGATATATTTTCGAGAGAATTTTATGTGGTATATTTATTGCAATGCCCACTTCTAACTGACAAAAGTAACACGATATTTTGTTCATGTTACCAAGCTACCTTTTGCTTCTTGTTATGTATGCAACATATTACATGTATATAGTTTGTATCTGACCAGTTGGTATTTCCAATATTATCATTGTTCTATTTTTAGAACATAAACTACATGTATGTACTAGAACTTTCTTAACTGTTGTAGAAAAACTCATGCATTATATTTAGTTAGAAACTTCCGGACTGTTCTTTATTGTTGAAAGTAGTGGGTTCAGTCACGTGACTTTATCGTGAAATCGGCAGACATTTTGTAAAAAATAGCCGAAGTTTAACACAAAATAATAATAATTTAAAAGCATCAAATGTCCTTAAATTTATCATGAACATGTAAAATAATCATTATTTTATCAATATAAGCCGAAAATAAATTATACAGAGAGGATTTATCGGCAAAATTTACTTGATTTCAACATGACCTCTATCGAGCATATTCGCGCTTTACGCTACCGCGCCGTGTTTTACAGTGAATTTATTGAGCAGTTCGGTTATTTACTACCGTTTGCGCGTTTAATTACGCACTACGTCATCATTTTTTGTGCATTTCGTAATAGAAAAAGGGTTCCTCTTGGCAACGGTGTATGATATGAGAAAATCCGTCTGTTTTCAAGAAAGTTACGAACAATTTTGTGAAAGAAATGCATTTTGTGACTAAAAGATGGTAATATATTTCTTTATATCATATGTTTTTACAAAATTCAATCATTTTTTGTTTGAAATGCACAAAATAAATGATCTAAAACGTGATATTGAAACGCGCATTCGGTTGTTTCTTTCAGGTGGTGTGCAGCTTTTTACGCCGGGTTGGCGTACGCCATAGTGTAGTAGAATTCGGATAGCTTGTATTTACGGTGTAGTTAAACATGGCATCCAAAGATTTGAAAGAATTAGGTAAGCGTTTTTATATATGTGTTTATTATCAATTTTGATTAATAATATTGAAATAAATAAATAAATAAATAAAAATAGATACAAAAAAAATTGTTAAAGTGAATCTTATTCTTAGATCAATTTCTAGTAAAAATTACAATTTTTTTATATTTACATATTTTAAAATTAAAGCAGAACTTAATAATTTCATGGATTTTAACCATCTACTTGTAAGACTTATAAAAATTTGAGCAAAATGTTTGCATTTGAGCAAGATGCTTTGTGGTCCCTTCCTTTATATTTTCAGGGGTACTGTATATTTGTTTCTAGCTGCTGGACAGCAAAATCAAATTGGAAATATTAATCAGATGCTGGACATCGTGATGCTGCTGGACAGCCATGTTTTACTTCAATTAAACACTATATAAGGGACTGTATATAAGGCAGTCTCTCAAACTATATAGTTCATACACAACATGGATATTGGTGATATCTTATATATTATTTTCATAGAAAAAACATTTGAAATCATGACAACATGGTCATGTTTGGAAAATCTGCTGGTCAGATTTTTCATGCCAATAAAAAAACAATACATGAAAATCATCATTTGATAAACTTTTAATTAGAATAAGGAACAGGGTTATAAGAATTTGGCTTGTAATTTTTAACAAATAATTGAAATATTCATCTATATAAAACAATATCCCAATTATAATTATTCTGCTGTTTGTCATGTTCAAATATATCTCAGAATTAATCATATAATGAAACCAAAATAATAAAAATGGTGAACTATTAGGATATTTTACTTCTTTCAGATGTACCAGGAAATGAAGAGGTGCTTCAAATCTGGAGGTGTAAATCTGCTGCAGAATGTGTAAAAGAACTTTGTGCAAGATACCCTGAATGTAATTGGAGCAATGTCACTCAAATCAAGACAAAAATTCATAGACTTAATGAAAAATGTAAGAAATTGAAGAAAAACAACAGGTCTGTAGAACTTAATTCATTATTATTGTCCAAGTTTGAGATACCAAAGACTGTGCTAAGCAGCCTTGATATTTCCAATGAAGCCAGAACTGCTCTTGAGAATTTAGCACAGGCAACTAAAACAGTATTAAAGGAAAATAAAGAGCTTAAGAGAGAAATTGAAGAAGTTAATGATGATAATGAGAATTTAGAGAGGCAAGTCAATCAGTCTGAAAGGCGAGTAAACATGATAATGAATCTGCTTGAAGTAACAAACAAAAAATACAGTGATGCATGTAAGTATAAACAAGAAAGTTACAAACTAGATAAAGAAGTTGAAGAATGGGAAAGACGTTACGATGAATTAGCAAAAGAGTTTGATAAAGCTGCTGAAGAATTACATCAAAGTAAGTTGAAATTGCAGGCACAATGTACACGAAATTTAAATAAGAAAATCAAAAGGAGAGATGAACAAATTGAAATGAAACAAAACATAATAAAAGAGAAAGAGAATGAAAATAAGGAATTTCAAAACGAGGCATCTTCCCTGCATAAACAGAAAAGAAACTTACTTGTAAAGGTTTGTAGACTTAAAAAGTCAATTGATGATAAAAATACCTTATTTGAAAATCAAAATGAAGAAATACAAAATTTAAAGCTTCAAATAGAGGAAAAGGAATTCAAAATAAAAGAATTAGAGCAAATAAATTCATTGCTTCATGACCCAGTAATTGAAACTTACTATGAGGGAAAATATTCAAATGAAATAAGGGAAACAATTATGTCTCTTGTAACCGAGTGTGGTGTGAGTCAAAGAAAGGTAAACAAAGTAATTGAAACTGTCGCGTCTAAGTTAACAGGGAAAACCTTATCACGCTTACCTAGCACTGGTGTGAAGAGTAGGCTGCTTTTAGAAGCAAAACGTGTTGCAAATGCTCATGTAGCTGAGACTATACTCAAAGACAAAAACACAACAGCTACTCTTCATCAGGATGGCACCTCCAAATTTCATCGCCATTTCCAAGGCTTCCAGTTCACCCTATCAGATGGTAAATGCATGTCAGCAGGTATTAGTGAGGTTGCAACAGGTGATGCCCCTACTTTGTTTGATGAATTTAAACATATGCTACAGCAGTTAACTTTAGCTTTTGACAAAAAAAGCCCAAATGCAAATGAAAATACAGAGATAAATATAGCAATGTTGGTAGCAAGCATAACAAGTACCATGTCAGATCAAGGATCAGTAAACCCTGTTTTTAATGAAAAACTAAAATTGCTTAAGGAAGAGTTACTTCGTACAATTTATGACAATTGGGAGCTGCTGTCAGTGGAAGAGAAGGCAAATGCATCACAACTATTTTCATTCTTTTGTAAGATGCATCTTTTTGTCAACATGGCAGGGGAAGTGGATAAGAGTCTTTCTCAGTTTGAGAAAACCATTATTTCTGATGGCAGAAATCCATTTAGCTTTGCCTCAACAGAAAGTGGTATTGCTAGGCTTATAAGAACCGCAAGCAAAGCATTAACAGCACATGGCTGTGACAAGTCTGGAGTTGGTGGGCACTTCTCCACATACCTTAAAGGGAAAGGTATTTCAAACAAATTAATAACATTTAGGGGTCACCGTTTCAATCATCTATTCTATGCTGCAGGTGTGACCTACTATCATTTGAAAGACATTCAAGACTTCTTATCAAAATGGGCTAATCAAAATGACTTGCTTAAAAGTGTTAACTTTGATGTTAATGAAATCATTTATGTTGCAGGAATCCGTGCATTAGGTATTATAGATAAAGTCATTACAGGCCCATTATGGAGAATCATTGAAAACTCACCAAACTCACTGGCATTAAATGATCATCTCTATCAAATGAAAATAACCTTAGAAGCTTGGGCAAAGGATGCTTCTTCCATTCTCAGTGGAGATAACATGTTCTCAGAAGACATTGTCAAAATCAATAAAGATTGTGTATATGACTGCCTAATTGCACCGTCAGATAACCCTTTGTTGGAGTCATATACTCAGATGGCTCTTGAAAATATGTTGGGGAAAAGCTTTTCATTTTTTAAAAAAAAAAACTAAAGGGGCCAATTACCTGGTGGGAAATATTGGGGCTAGACCTGGTACATAGCCCCCACTTAAAAAATTTTTAAAAAACAAATTTTTGAGGAGATTTTGCTCACTAATATGTTATGCTATGAAGCCAAGTGCATCTACAACCACCTATGAGGCCATTGTAATGTGGTCAAATAACCAGACAACTCATTGGTTGTCATCTCTATCAGATAGTGATAGACAGGAGGTCATTAATGATGCCCGCAAGAATGCCCCTAAAATGAGAGAAATGCTGCATAGGCGACAGGCAAAGCTTTTCTCTGACAAGCTTAAAATACTTGAAAAGAGACAAGATAAAAAAGCTCAACAAGAAGCAAAACAACAAACAAATAAGGTTAAATTAACACAAAAAATAACAAGTTGTGGTGGTTTATGGTCTGAATCAGACATAGATGCACATATGGTAAACATGGATGAAAAGGAATTTAAAGAAGCTGTCACCTGTCAGTTACAGTTTAGAAAGTCTGTTTTAGGATGTAAGGGTGAAAAAGAGCTTTTTCAACAACAGGTGAAAGGAAAACCTTATTCCGTTCAAGAATTAACTGCTAATTTGAGAACTGTCTTAGAAATAAATTCTGATGAGTCCCCGCTTGAAAATGAAAAGAAATTGAATTATAAAGAACAAGAGGAAGTAATAAAAGGAATAGACCAACTTAAGAGAGATTTAGGAGGTAAAATAATAGAAAATAGGCAGAAGATAACTGTGTCTCAGCAGAAAGACCTCCTACCAAAGTTGAAAAATGACCCTTCAATACTTGTCGGAAAACAAATTAAACATAAGTGTAGAGAGGAGGATGAGAGAATTGTCCAATGGTTTGATGCAACTGTTCTTAGAATAAAGAAACTGAATGGAGAAAAAACAGAGTATTTTATCAAATATGATGAGGATGATGATGAGTGGTTTTTCCCACTGTTGAAAGATATGGAAAAGGGCGATTTGATAGTAAAGAATATGTAAACAGTGACAATAGTGAGATTTTCAAATATATGAAATGTGTTACCATAGTGACAGATAGACAGATAGTTCATTAGTGATTTCTTCTTGTGTATATTATAAATATGTTAAAGAATGTGTAATGATAATCAGATGTACTTGTTAGTAAAAAAAAATAGCCAGAAAAAAGTACAGAAAAAAAAATATATATATATAAAAAAAAGAAAAAAAAAAAGAATACAGAAAAAAGAAATGAATAAAAAGATGCTGAAAAAAATAAGCACAAAAGTGTTAAAATGAAATAATTACTAGAAGGATTTCTATAAAAAAAATAAAAAAAAAATTAGTTAAAAAAATGCGTAAAATGCCTTAAATTAAAAAAAATTAGATTTTTTGATTGTGATTAAATTGGTTGCCATGGCAACAAATACTGTCAATTTTTTCATGTAAAATATTGATTATTTCAATAAATAACATTTATACTTGTGTATGAACATACCAATCAAAACACTTTTATCTTTGTATGTATGAACTTTTAGCACAAAGAATATATAGTTAAAAGAAGTTTAGCTTTTTCGTTAGCATTGTCGTCGCCATGGAAACCAAATTAAGTTTTTTGATGACTTTTTTTTGTGAAATTGTGTTCTTTTTATCAATTCCATAACATTCTATGTCATAATTAGAAGAAACACACATAATCATAAAAGTATGAAACCTAACAAACAAATAATTAGATAATATGCAAAAAAAAGGTAATTTCGGTGCCATTTCCTTTATTAGAATACAATAGGGAAAATATTTCAGATTTATACATAATGTTCAAACTTCCAAAAACTGTAACTTTTTAGTGCTTTGATGGATTTTGATGATTTTTTTTTTATTTTCAAGCTTATTTTTATATCTCTATGAATCATACAATATATCAATATTATATTTATAACTACAAAATGACATGAACCCCCTATTGAAAGTGCTAGATTATGATTACACTAGAACATAATAGACTATTCTGGAATGTTCCTAGTTTATATATATTACGGCATATTTTTCATTTCTTTTACCTTTTAAGTCATCAGTGATCTTTTAAGTCATCAATATATTTGGAGTATTATTCAACTTGGAAATTAAGTGATTTATTGGAGCTTGGATTATTTTAAAATAGTTAAAATTATTCTAGTGGATTTTATTGTGGGAATTTATTCTAAAGTGTTTGATTTAACTTGGATTTAACTGTGTTATTCAAAAAGGATCATTCCAGGATCAGACTAGACATTTAAGATTTTCACTTTTATTTGGACTTCAGGTATCTGTAAACGTAATTTGTTATTTTATTTTTCTTTAATATTTTTTTTCTGTAATAAATTTGTTATATTGTTACAAGTTTGTTGCTGGCTTTTCTTTCTAGTTACGCCTGGCTCGTAACATTCTCTTTTTGTCCAACGAAGTATCGAAGTAAAGATATCGTAGGAAATGGCTTTATGCTCATGAATAAAACGAAGAACTACATTTTGATAAACGAGGTTTACACATGATTCTACTAGAAAGTCTTACATCTCTCACGGCCCGTCCGAAAACAATCTGCGCGTGCGCAGTACGTAAAGTCTTACTTCCTTACGGTTCTGACAAAATTCACACCACATCGGAACTACCTTCTGAACCAAAATGTTTCCATAATATATACAAGTAAGGCAAAGAAAGGAAAAAGAAAGTATATGAAATAATATGAAACTGTCTTTTCACACCTGACTCGGCAATAATGCTGAAAGGCTCCGCAATTATCATCTACAATGACTTACACTTTTACTAAGTACTACTTCAATGTTTCGATTAGATATAATTTGTTCAGGATTTTTTATTTTGTTGTCATTGATAATTTTGAGTGATCACCATTTTTCACGATATATACCTGAGATAAGAATTCCATAACTTCTTGAAACAGATACATTACTTCTTGAAACTACCCGCCTTAAGAATTATTGTACTCATCTTAAACTGTATTGGTATAACTTTAATATATTTTATATATAATTATATGTATTTCAATGATACAAACAAAAAAGTAAAACAAAAAGTCAACACGCACGTAATCGTTTTACTGATTCACGATAGCTGAATAGTTGTAGAAATCATATATTACCATTTAAAGACCATACAATCATTTAACAAAAGTAAAATCAAGTAAAGATGTTGAGTTCAGATGACGATTAAAGATGAAAGTGCAGTGTAAGTAAACGTTTGAAGGTTTGCTTAAAGACACATTATGCCTTTAATATCTTGATCTTTTAAATATTTAGAGGTGGGAAAAATAATGTTTAAATTATAAAAAATATTTAGAGCATGTTAGATGCTAAACAACTGAAAAAGATAGCGCTGAAAGTGCAGTAAAATGTTACGTAAATGTAGCAATATGTAAACAAAGTTATATTTTGACTTCCATACAAAATGCTTATTTACTGCAATTTTATCAATTGCGAATAGAGCAAAAGAAGATTAAGGTAGTTCATCCATGTGGCAAATGTTTATATTTTGGAAACTGTAAAAAGATATCAAAAATAAATTTGTTTTAGAAAAATAAAAAATATAGCATTTCTGAGGCATAAATGGCCTTTAAAGTTATGCCAATAACTACCGGTTACTCTAGGTACTTAAATTGGGAAATATTGTGAAAACGTTTAAATCACACTACTCAAGATCATATAAATTTGACAACAAGGTATATATGCAATCATACTTAATGTTCCGTTGCGTTGTTAGAAAAGTTTTGTTTCTTGTTATATAGACAAACTGTAATGAAATCATACATGCGAAATAAAATTAGAGCACATTAGTATTTGTCTAACACATTTGCTTCATCTATCAACGTCAAGCAGCATTTTTATTGATATGAAAAATGTAGTCTTTCGTTGCAAAGGGCTAGGTACGTTTTGGGTCGATTTTGGCCTATCGGCAAAAAATATTCCAAATTTGATATATCAAAATTAAATTTTATCAAAATACAAAATACTACAGTTTGACGTCATCAACGTCACGTATTATTTTGAGCGCATCGCTTCGAGTAATTAAAACTATAGTGACGCATATGTATTTTCTTAATTGTTTATCGTGTAATACACAGGAGTTAATGATACATTTGATGTACATTTCTACGTTCAATTACGATTGCAGACATAAATAATTAGTCACTGTGAAGTATATTAAAACAGACGAAAAGGAATACATATACGATAGCTTTTATTCCCTGCGGTCTGAAGACCGCAGGGTATTGGTACGCGTTTAACTTTTGAGGTATGGAGGAGCACGTGACCTGTTTTCGGTACACGGAGGAGCATGTGATCTGTAAACCGTACATGATTGGTTAATTGCCTTTTCGAAAACCTGGCTAAATACCGTTTGCCGGTACGTTACGGATTTACCTCTAGGGAATTAGTCCGAATTACACATAATTAAGAACAAAAACTATTACTGGACATTTCTAATTTTCTATAATTATTTTACCGTTTAAGATGGAAAAACTTGAATGATGTGTTTGAAAATTATCAATGTTTCTTTAATATCTATGTCAAATTTTACAAACAATAAATTGTTTATACTGAAAATCTACAAAATTAAAATATTCGTAGTGGAATCTGCCATAATAAATAGAGATATTTTGTAAACTTGTGTGTTTACTTATTTTTTTTTGCTCGGAATTATTCATAGAATGGTAGGCCTATTTAATCATTTTCTTAAAAAGAAATAATTGTTTTATGTTCGACCTTCTCCGGTCTTTCAACTACGGTCACCAGTTTCCAAAGACCTTCTTCTATATTGATCGATTATTGTCAACTATATTCCTGATACAAACGTTATTTATCCCCCCAAACAATGTTGAAAATAGTTAAATGAGATATATTTATATCATTAAAAATGTTCCCCGCAGGAAACCGTTTTACTTGTTTATATAATTTACTTACCCTATTTAAGAAGTGTGTTCAGTAACTGCTGTTTTATAAAATACACAATTACTTTAACAAGTTCATAGTTAAATTTTCGGCACTGAACCTTCTTCAGTTTAAAAGGGCTAACCAACGAAATCTATTAGAAATTTGACATACGAAGAGGCACATATTCGTAATATTACCGCTATGAAAATATTTTTTATTCAGTGGTCTTATGTAATTACCTATTTAGTAAAGTTCAGAACTTATATCTATGCACGTGTTTGATTATCATCATCATCAGAATCATTATTATTATTATTATACGATATTGATCTTTCACATAATGCCTCGGTTACTCAACCTACCGGAATCGGCCGAATTACCGGAATCGGTGGTCTTTACTGGAATCGACCTGTAATTTTGTTATTAATGAACTTATAAAGAATGGCCTTGCATTTTTATAAGATATAAACATCATCAATGATATGTCAAAAGATTTTTGTAAATAAAATCACTTTTGATTAAACAATAAATCTAAGATCGAAGAGTTACTGCCATACTACCGGATTCGTCGAGGGCCTACAGTGATTTGGTTATTTATTATTTATGCATTTTAATAATATTTGTTTTGCCTGTTTTTATAAATTAAACTTAAACGTTATGATTGACCTCCAAAAAAGAAATGTGAAAAGAAAATCGGTTTAATTAACAGTGAAGAAATATTTCAACGGCGAAAACGGGAAAACTGCCGAAATCGGCGAATGATTACCGAAATCGGCCTGTATTTTGCTTATTTATGAACTTTTAACCAATTTTCTTGCATCTTTAAATAAATATAAAACGATATCAATAATATGTAAAAAGATTTTTGTAAATAAAATCACTATTGATAAATAATACAAAATATTTAATATTGGCAAGTTACTGCCATACTGTCGGAACCGGCGAAGGAATACCGGATCGGCCTATAATTTGGTATTTTTTGGACTTTTTAACGTTTCCTTTGCATCTTTTTATTAAATATAAACATTATCTATCATACTCAAAATAAGAATTTTGCAATTCGCTTTTGATAAATAAAACAATCGAGTTACTGTCATACTG